CATGATTTCGGGGCACTGCACGTGGAATGCCCGCTGCTCAGCTGGTTGATGTTTTCGCTAAACTTGAGGCTCGCATCACCGACATCTACTACAGTGGCTATATGAAGGGCCGCATATTTGGTGCCGAGTTTGTGGTGGGGCAAAGACTCCGTCGTCGAGTACTGGCGTTCACCCCGGTAGATGAACGTTTTGCTATAATCCGCACCAATGCCAAATTTTTCAACATATCGTTGATTTGCCTCCACGCCCCGACGGAAGAAAAATCCATTTGGACAATAGCCTTTTATAAGCGCTTTGAGCATATCTATAAGCGCAGCCCCCGCCAAGATGTACAAATCGTGTTTGGCGATTTTAATGCCAGGGTGGGCAAAGAAGGTATCTTTAGTACGACTGTCGGAAAACTCAGCCCTCACAATGAAACATCCCCTAATGGGTTGAGGCTGATCAACTTCGCCGGGGCCTCGTGTGACTTTTTTAGCTTATTACTGGAGAAATATTATTATATATATATTATATGGTATTGAAATTATTGGTCTCAACAACTGGCTGAAGTTTTGCTTTCTTCAGACTGGATAAGGAGGCGAAGGATATGAGTCTGGTAGTGAGCACGGGCAAGACGAAATATCTCATGTCATCAAATAAACAGTCATCGTATTCGCGACTCAGTCAAAACTTTGAAGTAGTAGATAACTTCCTCTATTACCAGTATTAACACCAACAACAATGTCAGCTTGGAAATCCATTGCAGAATTAATCTTGCCAACAGCGTTGGGGTCGGCGTTAGGAATTTTTGATAAAAGGGTTTTGCGTGAGATTTACGGTCCTCCACAAGTTGGTACCGGCGAATACCGCAGCCGGAGGAATGATGAGCTGTATGAGATATACGGCGGCATTGACATAGTGCTTTGGCATAGCTCGGCGCAGCCGCTGTGGTGTCTAGGTCATGCTTTGAAAGTTTTGAATGCAGAACAACCCGGTAGAAGCAGAGGATGAAAAAGACCTGACTCTACTTAGTATCTCCAATTGTCGCCCAGCGGCAGTATAAAGGAATGAATGGAGCGATGTTATGAATTCGCCTAAAATTGCGTAAGAGGTGTCTACGTCAGTAAAGCAAGTAAGTAAGTAAGTAATATAATACGTAAGATAATAGGTAATGGGAGCAAATCAATTCACTTTCGCCAGTTGTGATGTTGTGTAATGTGAAAATGGGAGCCCTGCTGTTTATTACACCGGCCGACACAATTTTTGGCCCACGAAAACATCAAACATTTTCGGAAACTAGAACCAAAAAAAAGTGGTCTTTGGGGTGGCTGATTATGAATCTGGTGTCAGATTTTTAAAGTTCAAAATGGCGTATCCAATATGGACAAAACGACCAAGCACGTGATTTTTTTTTTGTCCTAGTTTCCGGCAATATTCAATTGGTCTGTGGCCAAACAAGAAGAATACGAATTCAAAGATCCGGGAAGTGGGTCGACATAGTTTAACTGCGAAAACCTTTGGAAGTGCACCTGGCACTTGGATCTGTATTAAAAAAATCTGTGATTTTATTCCGGGAAGTAGACGAATGGACAATTTGTTAGGTAAAATAATATTTTTGACTCACTGGCAGCAGAAAATGGATCTTTAAAATTTTGTTTATGTTTCAATTTGAAATTCATTTCTTTCCGCGTAGTGGAATAGAAACCAATCTCTTCTTGCTTGAAATCACTTGACATTGCATGTGGCAAAGCGAATTTTTTGTATATTCTTTTGTCGAAAAACAAATCGACTCTGCTGAATTTTAAGTCTGTCTATGTTTTATTAAAACTTTGATGTCGTGGAATTGAGGCAAGGTGAAACTAGCAAATATATATAGAATGGTTAGAAAAATACCAAAAATATTTTAGCTCAACATACCAAACACGCTGCGAACACTGAAGCTTTTGCTCTTAAGATATCGAGAAATAATCATGAAATGGACTTGCTCAATTGCTCTCGTAGAAAAACTGATATTCCAGAGGAAGCCAAATTATAGAGATGTTTTTTGGGTATATTACATACAAGTAGCATCTGAATCGAAATAATACCAAAAAATGTATTTTTGGTCCCATATTTTTATTTTGCGGGATATTTTTTAATAAACCCAGAAGAAAGGTGTTTGAATGAAGTTTTAATAAAAATTGACTTAGCTAGTTGCTCAATAATTGAATCATTACCAACAGTAGCCTTAAACTCTGGAGTTTTATAGAAATAATTTAGCTACGACATTTTAAAAAATAAAAAAAAATTATGAACAACACTATTGAATGTTTTTACTCATATGTTTTTCAAATGCACCGATGTGAATTTCTTTCGCATGTGAAAGCATTTTTTAAATTCGCGTTAACCATGCACTTGAATTCTTTTCAAATATTTACTGGCCTATTATCACTGTTACCGGAAAATTAAATTTTATTACTTTAACTTACTTTAACACCCGAAATCGAATTTGGTATTCTGGGGAACTGGTTACAATATTTAAAAAAAATTTGGCAACACTGTTTTTTTCGACCATGCCAAATTACATTTGCCAGTTGATAAAGTAAAAGGGAAAGTATTCACTCGAAATGGAAGACGGTGCACAAAAAAATTAAAAAAATTTATTAATTTGTTTATTAAATCATAAATATTTGAACCTAATTTAGGAAAATATGCTTGTACAACAAAAATGCTTAATGAAAACGGTATCTTACAAATCTTTTGTCTCGAAAACTTCTTAAAATACGGCTTTTTGAATTTTGGTCTTCATCATCAATGAATTCCAGGAATAAAATATGCCTACCCATTTGGTTTTTATTTTTTCTCAAACTAACAACACAAAATCAAACAGCAGATATTTTTGTTGCCTCCTATTTCACTGGTAACAATATTTACAGGATAACAGTGAGCTCAGAATACCAAATGGTAACAAAATTTACCATTCAGTAAATTTACCGATATATTTCACATTTTAATATTTTAGCTTAGAATTTTTGGTGCATGCGAAAAAAATTATTGAGTTTAGATACAGGATAATCATGTTATTTTTAAAGTCAACATTATATTCCGAGCAAAGATGAATATTTTAGCTTATTCGATTGTTGCAATATGCAAAATGGCCATAGTAAGGATGTAATGTAAACATAGAGGCTCAGCAATGTTGTACAAATGCCAAAAGTATTTACTATTTGCAATTTATGTAGTTTTGTGTGTAAAACAATTATCATAAAAGATGTTTTTTTTTCTTAATTTACAGCGGTCTATTTTTTAAATTGACATACTTTCAATAGATATGACATAGTTTTTAGTCATATTCTCTCCATTTAGTTGCAAATAAAACTTTGACAGTAAAAAGTTGAATGCGCTTGAACATACGCACTTTTTTCATTTCATTTCTTTATGAAAATCCCCACTGTGACTCATAATAATTATTGTATTCCATAGGCTTTCAGCAATATTTTATTCAGGATATGGTTTCTATTATTTCATAGTAATGTTTAGCTACGGCATCCCCAGCAAATTTCACTTCACTTGAATACTACACATGTAAATACCTAATATTTTATGATATGAATTTACATATTTACTACTGATTAATGAGCAAATTGCATTCCTACATGAAATTGATTGTGTTATTGAATTATATTCCCATTGATAAGATAATTATGATAAGCGAATATTTTATCTCCTAGCGGAATCGAAAGCAATATTAGGGAATATGTTTATATCGAATCAAATAAATGTTTATTACAAATATCTAGAATATTAATTTTTTTTTAAATAAACAACCCAATCGATGTTTAACAAAATTGACGCCTAAATGTAGGCAACACGGGAAAGAAATTAAAAGATTTTCAATTTCATACGTTTCATTGATATAAAAACACTAAGGAACAAAAATGTGTGTTCTTCTTTATATATAACATAATTGGCGCTTTGTAACTGCTGAAGCGATTTTCCGTCGAGCTCCTCCTCCAATTTGTGGTTTTGCGTCTTGATGTGTTTCCAACAAATGTATGGACCTACAGCTTATACTAAGCCGCCTACGAACGGCTGTTGGTTTTTTTTATGAGAAGCTTTGCTAGATGTCCGAAATACATTCGGAGGGTTTGACAATTTAGCTTAATTTTTTAATTAAATTAATTTTCTATAACATTTGGATGTTGGCCGCATGGCGATTTGAGCCCGAGCCTGCTTTACATAACTTAAATTATGTTTTTATAATTATTTTATCGAATATTTATTATTACTGTGTATGGATTTATTCAACTACTCTACTTGCTAACAATTTTTTTTTTTTCAATGTTAAACCTCCTTAGAAATTAGCGTATAAGCTAATATTAAAGTTTTCGTTCTATAACAGATGATCGTTTTCGAAGGAAAAATTATATGTATTTTTTGTGCTACAGTAGGTATTTTGAGTTTTGAACGATTATTAGAGTGTCAATGAATAAGAAAAATTTTTGTAGCGATTTCAGACCAAGTTTTGCTATAGGTTTTATCAATTGTGGTTCTGAATGGAACATATACACTCAAAATTATTTTATTTTGTTGTATTATCGATATTGCAGGGGAAATCAAAAGGAACTCCTCAAGATTCTATTTATGTAAATATCAAAAGATTTTCAGATTTTTGGTACAATAAAAATTGTTAAAACACAGAAGTGCGCATTTTTACCATAATATTAATTGGTTTGAAATATTTTCACCATAAATCCGCTCCACATGGCAACAAGAAATTAAAAAGTAATTTCATATCTTCTCCTCGTATATCCTAACACTTTGAGCATCATTGTATGTATTTAAATATATCATGCAAATTAATTTAAATTTTCAAAAAACTAATTAAATAAAATTAGTGTTGTGATGCTTCAAACTGAAAGTATCTGTATGTATGTATAATGCATGAAAATACATTAAAAAAAACTCACAAAAAAATATGAGTTTAAGAGACTTTTTAAAAGCTTTAAATACCAAATATCGAAAAATCATCTACTCACCTTTTATAACTCAAATTGCACTTTCTGTAAATCCTTTAACTGCACTGCGTTTTTCTCTTGTAAAATTTGTCTTCTGCTTTCCGTTTTGTTGTTGTAATTCACACTTAAGTTTATTAGTTCACTGCGTTTAATTAATTTCACCACGTTTTTTCCTTTTAAATTAATTATAAAGTGAAGAAGATTAACTCAATTTGCCGCGCAACTAAACTAACGGTTACACAGTGATTTCAAACTAGCAAAGCAACAGTTATACTTATTAACGCTCTTTTAACGCTCCTGCATTAGCTTGCTTCGGCTATCGGCCTGTCGTGTGTGCTTACTGCTTGCTATTACAAAACCAACTGCGCGCTTTCACCTGTTGATCGACGTTAAATGCTTGCAACTGGCTATGCGGGCACTTATTTATATGTGCCGATGGCGAGCATGGACGGAAGTGAAAAAATGTTCAAGGGGGATAACCATTTGCTGTTAATTTCATATAAAAATTTTCAGATTATACACACATGTATATATATATATATTATATTTATTAAAAGAAAGTGTCATTTTATTCGAAATTTAAAAAAGAAAAATCCCATTTGAGGCTCACGAGATCCCTTTCGAGCACAGTGCCACTGCTTACCACCAACTGTAGCGCCAACAACACGCATACGCCCCACGCACACATGAACTACCAACGCCGAAGAAGCTTCCGAAGTATGACGCCGCTTCGCTGCTGTACGACGGCTTCCGAACGACGAGCGATAAACGAGCATGCAAGTGTGTGACACAAGAAAAGCGGAAGTACACACAGATACATAAACATGTGCTCGCCTAACGGCATACACAAAAGCTTGCCACTTGTGGGAGATTCACACAAATGCACACACACACACACACAAGCGTGCATGGACTCGAATGCAAAGCCAAACGCGTGACATACTCAATTAGATGGTTGGTACACACAGACACATGCATATACACGTAGTTAGGCAATTTGCAAGAATGTGCATATGTAAGCGATTGTAGAGGGAAGCACCAAACCGGGTTACCCATTTTGCCTACGCTTTTGTTTCGTTTAACCACAAAATATGTTGTTAAATCTGTATGCGCACAGATTTACCGTTAGCCGGCTCATAGTCTTCCAGGTGCCATGCAGGCCGAACCAAAGACAATTAGACATTTGATACATTTGATAAATTGCTTCGAGAATGGCAATGGAAGAAATTTATTTTCATTTTTATTATTACTCCTGTTGTTGTTGTTCTTTCAGCTGTGGTATTTAACTAAGTATTTGGTTATTGTCATGAATTGAGGCTCAATTGGCCACACTGCCGTTGTGCGTATGTACGAAGGTGTAATGTTTTTTAATTAAACTAGAACAACAAGTGGCTAACCCAATATACACATACACATCTTCATATAAATTGTTTGCATTGCAATTTATCATAAAATTTTTCATATTTTTCATATTTTTCATTTTTTACCTACGCACAGAATACATAATACATACATACATAATGTTGAATGATTAAATGAATTGAATTACCTGCTTTATTATTCCCTCGTTTTCCCATCCATTATGTGTGCCATCACTCGAGGAGTTGATCATACCAGATCCGCCCTTCACATGACGGGCGTTGTTTCCGGTAGCTAATATTCAGCTGCAATAGTTAGTGATCTTGAAACTTGTTTATTTACAAAATTTAGTTGCATTATTAAACATTTATTAGCAGGTGTGATCCGTGATGATTTTTAGCTCATCCTGTAAGGACATGATTCTCAATTTTAATTGGTTATATTAACAGATTATTGTTCCACCGATTAACGCAGAACCAATCTGGTAAACTTGATAGTTTTTTCTTTGCATGGAAGCATACAAATCTTTTGCTTTTCTTCTAAAAATTTCATGTGCGAAATTCAATACAACTCTTGACATCGCGAAATTTTTATTCTTATTAATTACAATGAATTATAAAATTGTCTAAGAATAACAAATGGCAAAGGCGTAATTTTTCACCATGAAAACAAAGGATTTTGCAGCTCTTTGATCACCTTGATTACGAGCTCATCCTACAGCTCTGACTTAATACAATACCAACAGATTATCATTTGTTGGATGGTAAACTTTCGATTCAAATCAAGTTGTTAAGCCTGGCTGACATCAGCTTTTCGCCTCTCAAAACTAAATCTCCTCCTAATTCGGAATTATTAATTTGCCGAAAGCTAGCGCAGAATCATTCAATAAAACTTTTCCGTATTTCGTATGTTGGTCTGGCCATGGCTCTATCCTAAACGTGCCTATTGTTAATCACAGTCAATTTGCTTAAAAAAATATATAAATTGAAAATTAAACTCATTTGCACCTCTCATCATATTTTATACAATAGAATTTTCGTCAGATATGTCAGTTTATAATATGAAAATTAGGCAAACTTTTAGGCTTGGTATTCAAAGAAAGCAGATCCCATGCGAAAGCTTAAGTGCAGAGCTTATGTATATATATATAATTGCAACCGCTAAAGAGATTTTTGAAATGGTTTTTGATGAGGTGCCCTTATTTCATGTCAGAAGTATGCTCGGAAAGGTGCCCCGCAAAGCTTAGAAATTAAAAAAAAAATATTGATTTGTATAAGTTACAGTTATTATTTAAGATGTCCTCAAAGTCCAAAACTTCTAATTGTGTAAGAGCTTTTTTCAAAGAAACTCATGCAGGTAATGAGAAAGGGCTCAAGAGCTAAAGGAATTCGCTTAACTTAAAATTTGTTTACTTTGTTAAAAAAGAATCCTGTTTCAGGATTAAGAAGAATTGAGTATTAGAAAATAATTTGAAAACTTAACTTAAAGTTATTTACAGTCATCATTTTCATTCGATTAATTTAGAAAGGTCAAGATACTTACATACATTGTGGTTCATAAAAGTCTCATGTGTAATAAAAATCTATTGCTACAATGCAATACGTGAAAGAAGTTCCCTCACAATCACATACATATATTTTTAAATATGAAAATAATGCATTTGTAAAAAACAATTTAGTGGCCACTTGCGTCATAGATATCACTTCACACTTACAACATGTACACACACACACACACATACGAGTACATTCCAATAGCACTTTCATAGCCATTAACTGAAAGCAAACTGCCTTATCATGAACAATATGGACACTTTGGAGCTTGCAGATGTGTATATGTGTAAATGTATGCATTTATGTGTTTATAAAAGCTTCATAACGTTAAGAATTCAAGTTGTTCCGATATTGTGTCTTCAAGGTCTCTTTACGCTCTGCAATTGTAATTGCTTACACCTAATTGCATATCTTGGTTGGTGTTAATGCACCTCGATTGCCATGCATACAGATTAATATGTAACTAAAACAACAACAACAGTAATAACTGCACAACATGTGAAAATATATAAGTACATATGTGGGTGCACAACCTACAATAGAAATTGAGTTGTTGAATGCTACGATTGCGATACAAATTTCTCCCGTGCTTGGCGGATATCCTAAGCCGAAGAGTGTGGGCATTCGGGTGTATTACGTGTATGTTAAGTGGAGATTAAAGTTAGAAATGATTGAGTTTGGACTAGGCTTCCCTTCTTGGAGGGGAAAATAGCGTACAAAATAGTGCAGTAAAAGTCTATGCGCAAAAACAAACTTAGAATTATCCCTGAAGTATGCAATACTTTGAAGTTAAGCATAACCACTTCTGTTTAAAAGTCTAGAGAGAGAGAGAGAGAGTTAACGGCAAAGGCCGAAGTCATTTCTTTAGCTTCTTGGCAGGAACAACGAAATGGAGACATCGTTGAAAGGCCCATTAAATACGCGTTGAACGTTGCTGGTAGCATAATTTTAATTCCTAAAGCAAAGGACCATAGAGCTCGGAGAATTATTTGCTGAGATTGCATACATAAGCTGACAGCACTTCTCGTAAGGGGAAAGTGTACTGGACATTCGGGGATATTTTAGCTGGCAAACATTAAAATCGCATTCGTTTTATACGTTTCTGAATATTTAAATAATATTGAAATTAAAGAAGTCATAATTAATAAGAGATACAGAGGTGTGGTTGTTTACAGCTGCCGTTGTGTATCGCAAAGAAATTTAACTGTAAAAGTCAACGAAAATATATATTGCGTTTTATTCATTGCTAAAAACAGAGACAGTGGGTGATACGCCTTCTATTGATTTTGGCCACAAGAAGTGGTCACTGGGACGATAGTGCAACAGAGAGAAATCGCTCCACAACGTTTCGGTGCTACAATGAGCTAATGTATTTTATGTAAATTACGGTGCTTACTGATCTTCAACTAATTAAGTGGATGTTCAGACTTAAAGGTCTACTACTCTGTGTCTTGCCAAATTAACTTTTCAATTTGATTATACTAAAGGCAAGCAAAATGTGGTACAGGTCCATATCTCGCCCGCCATTTTCCAAGATGAAGATATTAAAGAAATTCATTTGAAACAAAAGATGTCACCAGATATATGTATAAGCCTACATTCGTGGTATAGAAGGGAAGAAAATATATGCAACGGGACTTTCTCATTATGGTATCCTTCGCACCATCAGTCAAAGCACACCGCAACATGTTATTAAGGGTCCACCAAAATTATAAGAAATTTTGTTTGGAGTGTAAGAGCCAAGCCAACAAACTTAAAGCCTTCGGATACTCAATTAATTGTAGCTATAAAACGTCTAAAGATGGATCCCCATTGTTAAAGACATTTGCAGTAGATGAGTCGCCTGAAGTCATCTGAAAAGAATTTCCTTATTAAGTGAACCAAACTGCAACTGAATTCGCCAATTTAAGGAAGCTTCCTAAGAGAACAAATCATCGATCAGCAAGTTGCAATTCAGCACACTCATTATCTAATTTTCCATAGTTTTCTTCAACAATAAGGATTGGTAACGTCAGCATTAGTTTGACAACAGTTGCCGCCCGTGTTACAGAATATGAGTTATGGAAAATTCTTGCATAAATATTTACCATATAAATCACACACATATGTACATATATATTTTTCATTCCCTGTCAAATCATTGCGACACCTTCATTTCAATTAGTATTTCCATTTGCCCAACTTTGAAATACATACATACATCGATATACATCCACCTCGACACTCTAAGTGATTTTCTATCTGTCAATGTGGGTATATTTGTTGCTTTATTTTTACATTTTTGTATGTATGTATGTAAGTAAGTATTTGCAAATACCATTTAGATTCACTATGAATATTCATGACGGCATCGGAGCATATTTTTAACACGCCACAAGCCCATGTCTCCTCAGTCCTCAACGCTACACTGTCATATTTTTCATAAACTTTTTATTATTATTTTTCTTACACTTCTACTATGCATTTGTGG